CAGTAAATCCCTGGACCCGGCTTCATTTGACTCAGCCTCAGTTCCTTCTTCATCTCTCACTCAAAAAATGTCCAAATATGCAAATTAGAAGAGGACATCATCTACCAACTTTTGGGACAGCCAAAAACAACTTTTGTTAATGARGAGTTGGCAAAAGCTGTGCTGAGCCATAAACTTGAGATAATATATCACAACTTGCATATTTTTATTATTTTTTTTTTTTCAAGTGGCGTGAATGGGCTTCCACAGCCTTCTGTTTAAGAGGGTCTGATTACGGTTTAGATTGCTGATATTTCCTCTAATATCAGTGTTTAATTATTATCAAGCATATTCATGTCTTTAAGAAATCCAACAAAAACAGAAAGTTACATAAACTCATCATGGTGCTTTCCTCTGGGCTTTCCCACTCTTACCTCACTTCCGCAGCAGCGCCGTCATCTGCTGCAGCAACGCTGCGTTTACACTGCGGTGCAGTTGTGAGTTAAGATGAACATCATGGATTTCATTTTAAATCTTCCTTCTGTCGCTGTTCACTTCACCTCGCCTCTGTTATTGGTGTTTTTAGTCCAGACCTCCGCTGCAGGTAAGCTCCAGCAATTAGACGCCATCAAAAATCATTATTAGAACTGTTTATTCTGCACTACTTGTATACTATTTTTAATTAACATTCCTTGATTAATATTATCGTTTTACAAATACGGGCTAAATTTTTATATAGTAAAAACTAACATAAACTATACATTTTACTTGTGTAGGCTATATCTGCTGTTTAGATCAGTTTAGTTTATATTAAAACTATGCATTTATATATAGCCTACATCCATTAGAAGTACTTGGATAACACAAAAAAGTGAATAGACTTATTTCCATTGTGGTTCAAATTGTTTTTATTTAGTTCTTTAGTCATGTTTATGTTTAGTTATGATAAAGTGAGATAAACCTGATAATGTTAGCTGATTTTTGTTTGGCTACTATGTAGAATGGCCAGTGGATTATAAAGATGGACACTTAAGAAACACTAAAACAGACAAACTGTGCTGTCCATCTTTTAAAAAATAAATTAAAGACAAAGCAAGATTTTTCATTGTATTTACTTAAATACTGAAGAAATAGCAAGATCATTCAAATCATTCTCCAAAAAGATCCTATTACAGTTTATGAAGAAGTGGAAATATGGATGGACTTTCTAATTTTTAAGATTTTAGTACCAGGACCTTTTCAGCTGAGCTGTATACAGCTGGCTGAGATGCAGTAAATGAGGAGGAGGAAAAAAAGTCCCAGATCAGCTGAACTTCAGAGGATCTCTCTACAAGCCAAGTGTCCAATCACAGTTTGATCCAAGAGGGTGTTTTGTAGGATGGATTAAAATATATTCATTGCTCTCTATTTGACAATTATATGAAAGTGGCATGATAATGTTTTGACTAGTGTTTGCACTGTTAGCAAAATATCTCCTGAATGAACTGGATTTGGAATCAAACCCATTTGAGCCAAGAAACTTTAGCCAACACAACAAAAAGCAGACTCAACCTTTTTTTACAGATACTGACCAGTGATGGGAAATTGATCCCTCCTTGCTGCAGAGATGCAGGGGTGCAGATTTTGTACAAACCTGGATAAGACATCAACCCTCAACACTGGAGGGAGCTGACGGACTGTAGACAGGCACGGGAACTGATAAATGATCCAAATCTGGTTTGGGAAAGTTCTCATCTCCCTGTCAAGGAAAACTCTTAAGTACGCTGGTTAGAATCATAACTGGGCACAATCTGCTCAACYGCCACAAAAAGGTGATGGGACCCCATGACWATGGTCTGTGTGATGYCTGTGGCATTGAATTRGAGACCTCTTTGCACTACTTAGACCCCTGCCTGGCTCTGAGCTGTCAAAGAAAAAGTAATTCTTGGGGACCCTTTTATGGAGTGTTTCTAACCTTGTGTCCTAGGGAAGCAAAGCTTTGATTAAAGTTTATTGTCTTTTTGGGGGGAGCAATGAGCCTACGTCTGAGTATCCGTTCCCACTCATAACCATTGCTCCGACCAGAAACAGGAAAGATAAGTTGAGGTGTGTTATAAATCTGTCTGCCTTGAGGGTGACACTCTCCTGACGTCACTGCCCATATATGGAACAAAGCAGCTTTTCCAGAGCTGCAGCTTTTCATTTTAAAACTATTTAGGATTATCTTTCAAGAATTTCAATAAGACATAGCTGTTTTTTTATGTCTATTATATTTTGTTAGATGTGCAATTTGAAAAAATATTAAGGGTTGCGCTTTGAATTTGGTGTAATAGTAGCTGAGGCTTACTTCTATAAACACTAAAGCGATATGCAGTCCTTTAAGGAACGCTAGGTGGCTAAAGTGGCATTTTTGCTGACTTGTATTTTTCTTTAAAACTGATCGTTTTGATAAGGTGATGTTTGTCTACCACTCTGATTTGGTGATAAAGAGAAGAATGTGAAAACCTTTTATGAGACTGTTAAGTCGGAAATCTCAGAAATCTGTATCTCAGCTGAACCTTCTTCTTTTCTCAGGTCCGTTTCAGGTGATTGGATCTCCTTTACCAATTGTGGTGGCTCCAGGTGATGACATCATCCTGCCGTGCCATGTGGAGCCTCCGTGTGACGTGGTGGACCTGACAGTGGAGTGGTCAAAGCCTGAGCTCAGGACCGACCCCAACGATCGGCTTAGGCGAGCAAAATACGTGCACCTCTACCGGGACAACCGTGAAGTTCCGGATATGAAGATGTCATCATACGTCGGGAGGACGTCACTGTTTGTTGACGACTTGAAGCAAGGCAACATCTCACTCAGGGTCACCAATGTGACGCAGGAAGATGAGGGTCAATACAGATGTTTCATCCCAAAGCTAAAGGGAATACAGTCTTCTGTTGTYCAGCTTATTGTTGGTGAGTAAAACCATTTAAATTACTTATAAATAAAAAACATGTTTTAAAGAATATTTTTATAAGCTGAAAATCTGCATTCACATTTATTTTCTTKTTTAGAATTTTCTTGTTCATATCAAACTACTTSTCATTACATTTCGCTTTTTTAAGCATCCATATGTATAAAAATTACTGGCTCGATCTAGAATAGTGTACCTTTTAGTATTTGAAACTTTTATTCTTTGTGTTTAACTTTCTTTAGATTTTTTAATAAATACATTGAGATTTCTTCAAATACTTAAAAAAAACATTGTCTGAAATCCACAGCATACTTGCTTTATCTTTGACTWCTTGTGCTCCCTGAGCTTTTAGCTACTTTCGCTGTAAATGCAGCTTTTAGTGACAATTTTGCTAATTTTCCCATTTTGTTACAGTTTCAGGAGTTTCTGTTTTTTTGCTGCAGTTTTACCACATAAAGCTTCCAGCAAATATTGTGCTACATTTAGCCTTGAGCTATTCTTTGGTTAATTTTAGCTTTTAGCTGTTGTTATAAATGTAGTTTTTAGTGACAGTTTTAATAACTTTTTCTTTTTCTTAGGAAGTTTAGTTTAGGAATTTATTATTTCTTCTACAGATCTAGCAATTATTTTGCTACATTTAGCTTTGAGCTACTCTTTTGTTAATTTTAGCTACCGTTTTCCATGTTTCAGCTTTGATTTACTAATTTTAAATTTTAGATGGGGTTTTGTTGATTTTATATTTTTATTCAGAATCATTGTTTGTTTAAATTTTCAGAGCAAAACTTTGATCAAACCGCATCCACAGAGACACCTTTCAATCCCATCAATCTGCAAACTCCTGAACCATTGGAGGAGAGAAATCTTGAAGGTAAGAAAAACAAACTCAAGTTGGTAGCAAAGTCAGTTCCCTTAAGACATAGTTGTTCTTTTTTTACACTGAATATAAATAATCTAATTACGCAAAATAGATATTTTTAAATGTTTTGTGTAGCTGCAGGCTGGTTAGCACTGTTATTGTAAAGTCTCCGTGACTGTCATTATATCACGTCAGTGTTTGTCCAAAAGTCCCTCTACAAACTGCAGTGTGTTTGTGTTGTATTTCTGTTACAGATGATCTAATCCATGTTTGTTTTCTTTTTTCTTTTTTGCCAGGTGCTTTGTCCTCACAGTCCAGACTAATTCTACTTTCAGCTGTCTTAGTCGTGGCTTTCAGTATTGGAGTCGGAGGATATTTATACTTTAGGTACAGATGTAAAAAAACAGTGGTAAGTCAATAACATGTTTTTATGACCATGATGAGAAGAAATAAAGATGAACTGTGCAAAACATATTTCACTTGACTGTTTTTCATGTTTTTTTTTATCTTTTCTCCAGCCCTTGAGAGAAATCTAGAAGAAATGCAACAAATGCTTTCTCATTCGGATTCTACAAATTAATTTGAGGATTCAGAGTTGACTTGCTGTGAAAGATCTGMGAAGCTGTGGATGATGATGGAAAGACACAAAGTCAGAACATCTGTGTCGGAATCTGGGATCAAAGAAAAATAGAAACTTTTTTTCACCAGTGTTCTGTGGAATGTGTGCAGCATCAAAAAAGAACCACTTTTCTCCTTCAAATCTTTAAGTTGTGTTTAATGCGGCTTTTGGGGGCAGCACGATAGCTCAGTATTGATGCCTCACAGCAAGAAGCTCCTGGGTTTGATATCCGGTTTGGACCTATAGGCTGTGCAGAGTTTGCATGTTGTCCTCGTGCATGCGTGGGTTTTCCCCARGTACTCTGGTTTCCCCCACAGACCAAAAACATGTACAATAGGCTGGTTTCAGACCCAGGCCTCCCTTGCAAAAGAGATCTGTGATCTCAATGTGATTTACCTGATTAAATAGTCTGAAGATGTGGTTTATTTCATTATGGTACTTCAGAATCTCTTTACTCCAAAATAGAAAGTACCAAGCAGAATGCAGCTGTCTCAGTGAGTCATTTCTACCAGCAGTGGGAAACCAGCTGATTTATTTAAAGGTCTGAGTGCTGTTTAGGAGAAGCAGCCTGCATGAACTTGATCCCAGCTCTATCAATGTCAACCTTATTGACTTTTGTACTCAAATGATGGAAAAGAAAATGACTCCTCATATCACATTTAAATTTCTCTTTGGCTGCTGTTTGTAACTTTTTGGCTGTATGATTTTGTGTTTTAAAAATTTTAGAAAAAGCTGGTTGRATAATTTTCTTCTGTGATCTAAGGCTACCTCCTGATGTCTTTGCACTTTAAACCACATTATGAGCTGTAATGCATCTCTAAATGGCACAGAATGTCAGTGATTGTATCACTCCCTCAATAATGTTATGCTGAACTATGAATGTCTGTATTACTTTTGTATGGGAGTTATCTCAGGGTAAACTACAAAAATAAAAAATAACAAATACAAATTATTAAAGCTGCTGGAAAGTTTGTAATAGTACTTGATGGGAGGGGAAAACCCAGAAAAACCTGTCTGATGTGCTTCAAGTAAAACACCAAGAATGCATGAGAGTGGAGATTTGTCAAATGTACAAGAAAATAAAAGAACTAGTAACTACTGTTTTTTGTAAACAACCTGGTAAGAAAGTGAAAGTTTTTTCCCGTTTCAAAAAAACTTGTCTTTTGTTTCTCGTTGAATTAGTCAATTCCCCTAAAACTCACCACCAATAATTTTAAACGTGTTTTATTTCAACCACTCAACAAAACTTTTAGGTGTTTTGAATTTTAATTTAAGCCTAATAGAGTAGCCAGGCAATCACAGAAATTACATTCAACAAACAAGAATAATTAAAAACAAATAACGACTAAAAATATGCCTTTGAAATAATGATAAAATCCATAAGACGAAATTGTCAAGTAACCTTTAGAGTCACATATTTGTTTAGACTTAGACGATTGGACATCAATCAATCAATCAATAATACAATCACATTTGAAATTGAAGAATTTATGAGCTATTTTTTAAAGAGGTGCCACTTGAAATATTTAACTTAAAATAATTGTTAATATGTGTTGTTGGACATAAGCGTAATAAAGCAGAAAAACGAAATAAATACGACACAAATGAAAAGCGAAAGCAAGAGGAAAAATAGTTTGACCACTAGTTGGCGGTAGATATTGAGCTGAGTTGTTACTACCAAAGAGGAAGACGTGACGTCACTTCCTCTAAACTATTAGYGTAAAGAAAAACAAAACACACCGATCTTGAAATGAACCCGATTCCAAAAGCTGGACTGTCACAAAAAGTTACAATGTGTAGCCTTCGGATTCGGCGGTGAACGAGCCTCCAGCAGCGGGGAAACCAACATAAAGTAACCGGACCGGACCGGCCCGCTCTTCACCATGAATTTAAGAGGACTCTTTCAGGACTTCAATCCCAGGTACTGACAGCTACCGCTCAGCTAGCTGTTAGCATTAGCTCTCCTCTGTTGGAAAACATACAAAACACGCGTGTCTCCCACTGAAGAATATTCAGGCACTTAATGTGGCTTTTGGTTAAACTGTCCAGGTCTGTAAAAGYGTCCAAATAAAGTCGGCAAATCCAACCGGTCGAGTTCAGCTAAAGGCCCGGCTAACACGCTAATAACATTCAACGTATTTTTGTGTACTTTGTTACTGTGACAAACTTCTGCTGTAACCACGAATTAAGTTTTCGTTACCTACTGTTAACTTCACGTTTTAATTTAAGTTTAATTGTAAATGAAAAGAAGCTTCACTTAATATAACTCAAGTGTCGGCGAATGTTAAGTTTCCGGTTTGGCTGGGATTTAAGTGGTATGGCAGGCCATTATAGCATATAATAAATTATATTCCTATTTGTAATATCTCCTTTAGATATCATAGTAAATATTTATTTTTGCACAAATTGAACTTTATTTTAGATTAATTAAAATTAAAGATTGGAATAATAATAATAATAATAATAATATATTAGGTCTGCACAATTGAAATTATATGATGGTGATATCCAGGTTTGACTTCATCGTAGCCAAAAGGAACAGTTTGATTATGAAGTGCATCATTCTTTTTATCCATAATCATCATTTCTGATGYCTCAAAGATGATTCTTCCTCAGACAAATAATGTCACTTAATCATTTACAAGTAGATTATTCATCAGTAGATTGAACTCTGAAAATCTAAAGTAGAGAGAGCTGGAGAAAACTGCATAAATTAAAACATCCTACTGTTTTTTGCCAGCAGCAGGTTAAAACATACATCTACATATAGATTTATTTCAGTAATCAATAAACTAGTGTTTAAGTCAGTGGTAAGARCCATTTCTGTGTTTATGTAAAGATGTAAAAAAAAAGTTTAGAAATTATTCATCAGTTTACATTCCTGTCTTTTTCAGTAAGTTCCTGATATATTCCTGCCTGCTGCTGTTCTCTGTGTTGCTCTCCTTGAGACTGGATGGAGTCATCCAGTGGAGCTACTGGGCTGTGTTTACCCCAATATGGCTGTGGAAGCTGTTGGTCATCATCGGGGCCTCTGTGGGCACCGGAGTGTGGGCTCATAATCCTCAGTACAGGTAGACTCACGCACATGTTGACTTCTGTCCTTCAGAGATTACAGTCTGTAATAACAAAACAGCTGGTGTGAACATTCACTGTGCAACCATCCATTTATATATGTAGGGTTGGTTTGTGTAATTACACTTAATTATAATTAAATTGATCAGAATCTGTATTATTTTGTTATTCATTCAATAACCATTTATGCTGGCAGTATGTATTATTGGCAGTGTGAATTAATTGTTAAAAGCTTAAGAATTTTTGTCCCACTTGACATTTACTCACAGGAATATGAAGTACAGAAAATGTTTTATAATAAAGATATATTAAAAGATAAAAGTTCTTATACAGCTGGTCTAGTGAGTACCAAAATAAACAATAAAAAAGGCTAATTTTTGTGCTTAAACGTATTTCAGATAGTCTTTTTTTAATGGAAGAGTGTCTTCCTGTCAGAATAAAGTGATTTTTGTGTACCTTGTTTTAGAGCTGAAGGGGAGACGTGTGTGGAATTCAAAGCCATGCTGATCGCTGTGGGCCTCCACGTCCTGCTGCTGATGTTTGAAGTGTTGGTGTGCGACCGCGTGGCGAGGGGGAACTATTTCTGGCTCCTTGTCTTCATGCCTCTCTTCTTCGTGTCACCCGTTTCTGTTGCAGCGTGTGTCTGGGGCTTTAGACACGATCGCTCTCTCGAGGTATGAAAACCCACATCTGTGGCTTCATAATTGTATTTCCAGTCATGGTCAAACAAACT